TATGTGTGGTCCGATGAAGATCACATGGATCAACCAACAATTCACGAAATCTACCGACAACTTCAAGCTTTCTGTATAGATCCAACAGATCTCGTTTTTCTCAATACCTTCCGTAAGAGTATGCATTTTCGAAGGGATGTGTCCAGTTATCTTTGGCACATTTCCATGTTTTCGAATTTCTCTTCTAATCCATCATATTGATAGATGAATGCTCAAGTGAGTCTAATGCACCCCGACCAATCAATCCTTGTGGCCCCGTTGAGGGATGGAGTCCACTGAACACAGCCATGCTTCATGGCGTATGGTGAGCGATGCAAACTTACAACGTGTTTGTGGAACAACTGCAAGTGATTTATCACAATCCCATAGAATAGCTTCCAAGCTGATTTATTGCGGAAAAGTTCAAAGACTCTTTCAATACAATCAGTAACTTATATCTTTTGGAAATAAAAGTACTCTATGCGATGAAAAGGGCCGTATTTTATGCTTTTAGGTACTTTGCTGCTGACCTGAATGCGGATCCAAAAATTTTCTTGCAATCTGCTGTCATCTCGCTCACTCCCAATGAAAGCAAGTAAGAAGTCTAGACTATTAGAATCCTCAGTAGTTTACGCGTGCAACCAGTCACAAATAGAGAGATTTGATCATTTTTGACCACTGTTAAGTATAGTAAACCAAAGGTTATCAAAGGTACTAGCACCTGAATTTAGAGGATATCAGAAGTTTCAATAGTACTAATAACAGCTATATCCAAAATGTAGCTAGATTTTATGCTTTGGCGACTACACATGGTACCTTCATTAATTGAAAATTTGACTAGTAAATCAAGTTTTTCGGCAAATTAGCGTTCGAAGTTTGGTTTTTGTAAGAGGTGTTCCAAAAGACGATATCAGTTTCCACTTAGAAATCTTTTTTTTTTGCTGCGGACTTCCCAATCTTGAGGAAATCCGGAAATTTCAACTACACAATCAATTTTGAGCGCATCGATTATGCATCTTCGCTATTACGCTCAAAAGGAAGCCGACAGTGAATGCGTAGGTCCCGGTGAAGGCGAAGCAGTTCTCCTAGACAATGCCACTCTGGACGTCACCATTGAGTACCGTTATACGCTTGTGCCAAAATTTCGAAACACCATGAAATGTTAGTCAATTATTTCCTCTTATACCAACATGGCTCGCATCCTTGTTTTCAGTCAGCTACCAGGTGCTCTACGTAGATAATCAGCGTGCCATCCTTTATTGGTGTTATCGGCGTGCATCAAATGGTACTTGTATTCAGCACGATGTTAACTTCATGATCAGGTAAAGATGCATGGGAAGTACAAATGGCTGTAGAGTAATGCGAGGAAGAGCAAATGCTACGAAGTTGTGTTACTCTAAAAATCTATGGAATTTAGAGCTCGTCACATCTCACATAACGACTTATCTCTGATATTGCCGTATCTTGAAAAAGTTTGTATTGAGAAGGATAACTTGCGTTGGTTTGATTTACATGGTAAGCTATTTTTATTGACTGACTGCTAAACTCCTTGTAAGTAAGATGTTAAGGAAACTAACTGGAAAGAACTATAGAATATCCCGTTTTTCGTATTATCGTAAAACACAGGATCTGAGTTGCACTGTTTTGTCTCAAAAATGTATCAATTATGCTGTATCCGGTAATTTGTTGATGCAAATTGTTCTATACTAACCATTGGAACTTCAGCTCAATGT